TTTGTTTTATATTATTTTATGTAAATATTAATATCAATTCTAAGTAGAACTTGAAGGTGAGAAACAACAGTTTCTTATTGATAAGTACGGTATACGGATTTCAAGAATAATGTAGGAATGCAGAATGGGCAGATATGAACATTCTAGGTAAAGAAAATGTATATCAGAAATGTAGACTGATTCTAAGAAAAAATAATTCAGTCTATATATACTGTAAGTCCATATAGATCAGTGTTTGCTTGTTTGTTTATTGAGAGGTTGATTTCAATTATTATGGCTATCCATATCATTGTGAGAACTCTGGGCAGCTAACAGCTAAAAATAGTGTAATAAATGCCACAATAATAAACCCATAATTGGCTTTGTATTATCTGTTTTAATAGTGGTTTTCCAAGCTCACAGGCAATAGTCTTTCCTATGACTTGCTATCTAATTATTTAAATTCAAAGGTCAGATACTGATCCTGAAATTATGAAGAGCACCATGTGTATAACTGCACTGTGGCCTCTCCCATAGAGAAATAGCCTGGGTTCTAGAGATATTTTCGTATATCCTAGCAGTGTAACAGATCCATACTACATGCATTTTCTGGGAAATTAAAATAATCTCAATGACAACTCATTAATATTCCTGGTTATCTTCTTGCCCATCAAATAACTCTTCTTGCCCATCAAATAACTTTTAATTAAGTAGGGCATTATCTTAAAGACAGTGAAGAGATTTCTATATTGGAAACATTACAGAAAGTAGTAGCTCTGGATTTGGGTATCTACTTTCACTCATTTTATAGTGTTGTTCTTCATATAAATTCTGTAACCATAGTTACCATTCAGCTCAAAGTTTTGAAAAATATTACCCTGCTGCTTTAAAGAGTCATGTTGTCTGGCTAAACTCAAAGAATTAGGAGTTAAGTAATTGCAGATGAACATCATATCTTGTTAGTCACGTATAACTCTTAAAGCACATCAGGAAGCTAGGAAAATAAAAGCACAAACATCTGCTTTTACTTCATGATGAGAAGTAAGGCTATGAAAGGCCACAGCCTACAAATGTCCATGTGGATTTTTTGAAAAGCAATAAATTTAGGAATTGTCTACATTAAATAAATGCATTGCATATTCTAATAATTTGCATATCATAACTCTAGAATTTTTGAACTATTTTTCTGAAAATCTCAATAATGTGAACAGTTTTACCTGCTTTAATACCAAAACTGTTTGGAAAATACTGATATATAAGAAATGTGATGGTGTCTCATTTTGTTTTAAATTAATAACATGAAATTATAGGTTTATTAAAGTTCTAATTAACATTGTAAGATTGGCACATTCCCAAAATGATAATTCAAATTCATATTAGTAATTTTTAAGCTATTTTTCTCCATTTGGAGAATAGAGGGTGGGACAAACCATAAACATGCACAGATGCACAATCAAATTTAATATCTAAGTGTTAGGTTCTCAAATGTATTTTTAAACAAGGAAATCATTTAAGCTAGATTAAAGTATTTTCTTTGTTCTCCAACAGTTGCTTCCACAGTACCTGCATCACTAAAGGCTTCCTCGTCAGTGGAATGGTCATAATCAGAATGTTTTAAAGCTGCATAATACACACATTGGTTTTAGGGGAAATTNCAACCTTGGAAGGATGGAAGGATGAGTCAACCTTCAGTCAATCAGGATTGAACTCCTGGTTGTGGGCAGAGTCAGCCTGCAGTGCTGTATTCTAACCATTGTGCCACCATGGCTCATGTGAGAAAGTTCTTGTTTCACTATTACCATTGCATCATGTTATGTTTTTCAGCAGCTGCATGTTTAATCATAAACTATGACGACATGCATTTATTGTATGTGTAATGATATCATTCTATAGTTTAAAGACTTCATGCGTACAATACATACCATTTGTCTTATTAAATTATTAATTATAATATATTTTAGTTGACTTGTGTGTCTTGCTATAAGTTCTCCAAGTAGTCACATCCATCCATCGGATTCTAGCTGACTAATCTAATTTACTTTCTAAGACATGTTGGAGTTCAAAATGTAAAACAAATCATTGCAAGTATATGAGTAAATACTCTAAAATCTTACCGCAGTGATTGCATTTGGCTTGGCCCCATGTTGAAGAAGAACATTGATGATGTGAGTGTGACCTTGCTGAGCAGCTTGGTGCAGAGGAGTGTATCCATTCTGAAATTAGCGGTAGTTATCATGTTTAAGAATATAAAGGGGACAAAAATCTTAAAATACAGTTATTTTAATATTCCCCTGATTTCACAGAAGTATTAATCACAGTGATGCCGGCTGTTTTCATCAGACAACAAACATCAATAACCAATTTTTTCACATAGCTAACACCTATCAAATCCCTATTAATTTTTCATAATTTAGGTTTTAAAAAAGCAATCAAATTTCATGGTAACCTAGGGTCTTTTTTATTTTATCAAAGAAAATAAAATAAAAAAGACCCTAGGTTACCATGAAATTTGATTGTGTTGGTGTTCTGTAAAATTATAAACAGTATCTCTTTTATTTGGGAATATATAACTGTTGGTGTTTTATTTGGAGGTGGGGAAGAGAGATAGGAAAACTAAAGTAAGCATTTATATGTTTTGCTCCATGTTACACATATTCTGCTTACCTACAACCCTGAAATTTTCACAGCAGTTTAGTCTTAAGACTTCCAACAATATCACTGTTAAATTCTCACAATAATAACATCATTGAATTTATTCTAAGTAATATTGAAAAAGATTGAAATGAGCAAATGGGGAACTGAGCAATGATAGTTTGGTGGTCGCACATTCTTTGGAGCAAATTAAACTCAAAAAACCAGAATTTTTAATTCTAATTTTCTTACGCATATAGCCAAGTATTCCCCCCTGGACTGCTTCTGAACTCCAGAAGCAACCAGTTTTACATAATACAGAGGTAAAATAATATTAATCATATATAACAAGAAATTGAAATTTTATGATTCTTGCACATTTAAAATTTAAATTAGTTAAAACTAATTAAATTACTTATATTTATTTATGGTACTTTTCTTTTACAGTCATACAGTTGTTTTCCCCATTTTTTGTAAATCTTTTCAAGCAGGCTTTTCTTTTAAGGGTTCCACACATAATACTGGTATGGAAAATTCAGAAATAAACACGTATTTCCATAGAAGCAGCTCTACAGTCCAGCATTTTATTTCTCACAATGATAACCCTGAGGTACATTCCATTCAATATGGAGGCAAACACCTTTTCTATTGTTATTCTCCTACAGGTGATATTTGAAAGCATGCTATTCCCAAACCAGAAGTAACCCTCAGTTAAGAACAATACTTTTCAAGTATACTATCTCCTTTCAAGCTATCTAGGTCAATGGCCATTACTATACTTTATAGTACAGTACAAATTGCTTATGCACTATGTTAGTGGTCCCCAACTCCTGGTCTGTGAACTGGGACTAGTCTGCGGCCCATAAGGAACCGAGCCGTACAAGTAGTGGGCAAGCATGCGAAGCTCCATTTGCATATGTAGTGAGCCCATGTACAAAACCATCTCCTTCCTCCTGCCACCACCATCACTGCTGGTGTGCTAAGCTGGAAAGGTTGGGGATTGCTAGTACTATGTGAAAAGGCCTTTTTTTGTC